TAAATTGCCCTTAACTGTAAATAAGTTTATTTCCAAGAGAGAAAAATGCATGTACTTCTATTTAAAAAAAAATCCACATATATATTAATTTTTAAATAATACATTTTGCTCACTGTAGTTCAAGGCCAAATGCAAACCTCGGTTTCCACTCCCAAGCATGCAAGCCTGGCCACAGCTCGTGTCTCTACTGGTAAACCACTGACACAGAGCCTTGAAGAAGTAGAGCACAAACGGGTGAGAGAAGAACCCGGTGCTGACCCAGCTGTGTGCATCCACAGGGATCGCTGCAGCGCTTCACGCCAAAACAGAAGGTGGTAAAAAACCCACTAGTGTTTATTACAGGACCTAGAGACCAGGACTCTTGGGCTCTTCTCTAGCCCTTTCCCAAGTTTAGCAAAAGATTTGCTGTTGAGTCTAACCCCACAATATACAGAAGCTGGCACCACCTTTGAAAGATGCCTAATATTTCTGGAGGGATGGGGACAAGGATGGGAGCATGAAGAGAAACCAAGAACTCCCCATTGCTCACAGCAGGTCTTCACTCACTCTAGCACTGCTGGCTTCCAGAGCTTTTGCACCACACCAGAGCTCAGTGCAACCCCCTCTGCAACAAAAACCACATCTCTGGAACCCTGGACATCACTGCTTTTTGTCCAAGGCAGTCCTGAAAAGGCTAATTAAGGAAAAAAGCTGCTGTTATGGATAGGAGGGGCAGCTCCTCCATGACGGCTTAGCCAACACAAGCCTGTTTGGATGATGCGCCGGGATGCTCTGCACTGCTGGCTACATCTGGGACCCACAGCAAGAGTGGCCGAAGCATCCTCACATACTGTCTGTAGGCATGCCCTGGGGAAGCTCAGGCAGGCGTCCCGATCCCTACCCACGCACACACTGCCGCTCGGCAGTCCCTCCTCTCTGCGAGGGTCAGACCCCGCTGAGGCCAGCAAAGCCTCATGACAGTGCTTCCAAAAATCCTGAGGACACCCACGAAAGCTTGCCAGTGATAGACACTGCACTGACTTCTAAGACAAGTGTGCAGATGTGATTGCAGTTCAATTCGGATGCGTACTTGTTTACGAGAAAGACTTCAAAGAATCCCTGTGCTTTCTGGCCCATTTCTTCCAGCCCAGTCTGCATGAAAAGCAGCCTGAACTCATTTCCAGGGCAGAAATTATTATCCTGGATTGTATTTGTACGGAGCAGGATGGTGAAGAGAGTCTGTGATTCACCTCAGTAGAGAGCCTGCTCTCCCATTAGCCAGTCTTCCCTCCAGTGCTACCGCAGCACACTGCTTCGCAGGCATGATCACGGCCTTAAAATTAGCCCGAAGCCGTTGCTGCCCCCCAGCCATCTCCCCCCTGCCTCCCCCAGGCTTTGCTGCCTGACCTGCTTGGGAGCCAGATCCACAATCATCAGCCTGATTGCTAGGGGGGAAAAAAAACCCCAAAATAAAAAAACCTGTTGCCTTTCTATCGGGGCAGTGATACCAAGCAGGACGGTGGAAAAAGGGAGCGGCAGCAGCAGCCTCGGTGTCCAAGTTTAACCCGCCACTGCATGCCTGTCTGAAACCTTACACCCCTCCCAAGGAGAGCCCGTGCCACCATGCTCCGGGGAGGAGACACTGGCCAGCAGAGGATTTACTAATAAAACATGAAAAAACTAAACAGAAGCAAAACCAACCCCCTCCTCACCCCCAAAGCTACACGGAAAACCGCACCCCAGCTCTGGATGCCTTTGCAGTCTTCCTTGCTGCTGGCCCCACTCCCAGGGCTGAGCTAATTAGAGCCGCGGGTCATGTCGCCCTGTCACTTGCTGCGAGCAACTGGACACAGATTTCCTATTTTGGATCTAGCGGGCGAGAGCGAAGCTGAGACCACCGGCTGCCGCGCTCCACTGCTTGCTGGGCAGCTTCAGGGAAAGCACAGGAAGGGCAAGCAGTGGGGATGAGCACCTGGCGATGCTCCCAGCGCACAGGCAAGCCCAGCAAGGGGGGAAATGTGAAATCCAGATGAAACCGAGATGGGGCAAAAGCAGTAAGTCCAGTGTCACTTGCCTCTTCAAGATCCCTAGGGGCTCCTAAAACCAGTGACACCACAGCACCAACTTATTGTGGAGAGATCAGACTGCTCCGGTTTGTACTGGTATCCGCAGGGATGGACCAGCTCAGCCTTTTCCCATGGGCTCTCATAACTCATTGAATCACGCTTTTTTTTTTTTTAAATGGTACTTTATGCGTAGGGTCAATAAATATCTAAGAAGCAGTTAACCAGTTGTTAGCATCCAACTTATCAATGCCTCTAGCTATCTTGAAGGATGTTTCCTGGCCTGCTATCAACACCTTGCCCGGCCTCCAGACAAGCAGAGCACTTCAGACACAGTGTTATGCAAGGGCAAGAAGGATTTTAGTTTTTCAACTACAAAAAAGCAAATAAATGCATATTAGAACATAAGCCTAGCTCAGATGAAGAACAAGTATTTTCCTTCATAGTCACGAAAGCATGAAACTATGGTGCTCCAGCTATCTCCATCCCTGGTACTGCTTGGCCTTTACAGCGCTGAAGCAGTTAACTTGCCATTTGCTGGAGCATTGGGTCCACAGCCAAAATGGAAGTGCCAAAAGCCAAGACTGCAACAAGTGGTTAGGGGATCAGATGGTTTGCGAGCCATGCTGAGGAAAAGCCCACGAACAAGAGCTCGTTTAATACCCTCCCAAGCCAGCTCACAAGACAACTTGTTGGATGCCGTGCCAAAGTGCCGGGGGGGTGGTACCGCTTGCAGGAAATCCCAACCCCAGGAGCTCCCTCCTCGCGGGCTGGACGGGTGAGCAGGGGAAGAGTTGCCTGTGCCTGCAGGGGCTCCAAGAGCAGCTGCCTGCAGCCGTTCGGCTGCAGGGAAAGCTGAGAGCAAGGACGGCTTCTCTCCTCCTGCTCCCTTGCATGACCGGACCCTTTCCTTCCCAAGCAGCTCTCCCCTTCGCTGGCAGCAAACTCTGGCCTGGAGGAAGCCTGATCCGCAAACGAGAGCTGCAACCAAGAGACCTGAACGTCAGCTCGCCATGGTGAAAACCTGCCTTGTTTCTGAGGAGAGATTAAGCCCTGCAGCAGGCTGAAGGCAGATAAGCATCACGCCTGGTACCCCAGTAGGTGCCCTGGTCCCCACATCCTCCTTCTCCCACTTCCTCATTGCTGTCAAATCCCACACGCTGACCAGCTGTGTTAATTATTTTTCCTCTCCTGTAACACACAGACATCCTGGGAAAACAGCCTTTACAAAACAGCTTTAACTTTGGGGCAGGGGAAAGGACACAGAGAGAAACCAGGAGTCACCAAAGCGCTGCTTTCCCACTCCGCCTCCTCACCAAGTACAAACCCCATGGCGCAAGTTTTTCTCCTCCTCTGACAGTTTTTATTGCTTCCCCTGTCCTGCAGCGCCATGGCAAAGCCTGGCTGGCCTTTAAAAGCCTCCTGACAGATCCTGGGACCAGCACCCTGTGCCAGACACCAAAAAGTGGTTTGCAAGGGGGGGGAGGGGA